TCGACTACTAAGCCTACGGGCTACATTACTTCGAGTTCGAGCAAACACTCACTCGACTATTAAAGCCTGCGGGCTACATTACTTCGAGTTCGAGCAAACACTCACTCGACTACTAAACCTATGGGCTACATTACTTTGAGTTCGAGCAAACACTCGCTCGACTATTAAAGCCTACGGGCTTTGTTACTTCGAGTTCGAGCAAACACTCACTCGACTACTAAGCCTACGGGCTACATTACTTCAAGTTCGAGCAAGCTTTCACTCGACTACAAAGCCTACGGGCTACATTACTTTGAGTTCGAGCAAATACTCACTCGACTATTAAAGCCTACGGGCTACATTACTTCGAGTTCGAGCAAACACTCACTCGACTATTAAAGCCTACGGCTACATTACTTCGAGTTCGAGCAAACACTCACTTGACTACTAAGCCTACGGGCGACATTTCTTCGAGTTCGAGCAAGCACTCACTCGACTACTAAGCCTACGGGCTACATTACTTCGAGTTCGAGCAAACACTCACTCGACTATTAAAGCCTACGGCTACATTACTTCGAGTTCGAGCAAACACTCACTCGACTATTAAAGCCTACGGCTACATTACTTCGAGTTCGAGCAAACACTCACTTGACTACTAAGCCTACGGGCGACATTTCTTCGAGTTCGAGCAAGCACTCACTCGACTACTAAGCCTACGGGCTACATTACTTCGAGTTCGAGCAAACACTCGCTCGACTATTAAATCCTACGAGCTACGTTACTTCGAGTTCGAGAAAACACTCACTCGACTACTAAGCCTACGGGCTATATTACTTCGAGTTCGAGCAAGCACTCACTTGACTACTAAGCCTACGGGCTACATTACTTCGAGTTCGAGCAAACACTCACTTGAGTATCAAAGTCTACGGGCTACGTTACTTCGAGTTCGAAAAATACTCACTCGACTATTAAAGCCTATGGGCTACATTACTTCGAGTTCAAGCAAATACACTCGACTATTAAGCCTAAGGGCTACTTTTTATTTCAAGTTCGAACAAACGCTCACTCTATTATAAAGGCTACAAGGAAAAACTTCGATCAAATTGCCTAAGACCTCGAACTCATAAAAATCTTCACAAGGCAGAGAATAAAACAGAGATAAGTCGGGAAAGGAAAAGATCTTTTTATATATATAAGAGTATTTACAACGTCCGATCAGGACCCTACACAAAAAACAAAAATGGAAAAAACCCTAAGTTTCTTGGTTATCTCCGGGGGCAGTCTCTTCTCCATCGGGCTCCTCCCCGCTCTCAGACCCACTCTTGCTCTCTCATCATCATCATCATCATTATCATCATCGGAAGCCAAGGCTCTGGTATCAGCTTCAAGCTCTTTAGCCTTTTTTATCTCTTCGGTAAGATCAAAACCTCGAGCATGGATCTCCTCGAGGGTTTCCCTCTGAGATTGGCATTTGGCGAGTTCGACAACCCAATATGCTCGAGATTGAGTGGTCCCGGCTGCCTTTTTTGCTTGTACTTGAGCGGCTTTAGCATCGGCCCTATAGATGGCCACTAATGCATCTGCCTCGGCCTTTGCTTTTTCGGCTTCAGATTTGGCCTTGGCAAGTTCGGAAGCTAACCGAGCCTCGAGCTCCTCTATTTTCCTTGCTTGAACCAAGCTCTTCTCCTTCATGCCTTGAAGTTGACTTTCGGCCGATGATAATTGTGCTCGAGCAGTCTCTTTTTCTGCAGCGAGGCGGTCCATGCCTTCTTTCCACCCCAAGGTCTCTGCTCTTATCGTTTCGACCTCCTCACAAAGCAGCCCGATCACTTCAAGCTTTTGCTGCAGCTGTGAGATTGAAATATTAGCCACCGTTCCCGAAACGAGCCCATGAGCTTTTAAGATTATCATTACCTGCTCAGTCAGGTCAGTCTAATCTTGGTATGCCTTGTCCAACTCGGCTCGAAGATCTTTGATCTCTTCCTCTTTTTTCCCATTAAGAAGTTTGAGGGCATTTCTCTTCTCCGAAAGCACTCGGAACCGGCCTCACGTCAGCTCAGCTCTGTCTGAGATTTGGAAAACTCCTCTTGATGAAGAGGTAAAACCTATACGAAAAAGAGAAAAGGTTAGGCAGAAAATGGAAAAATAAGACATCAACAAAGGGAATCGAGACTTACCCGATTCAGGGCTCGTTGAACCTCAAAGAAAAGACCCGACGCGTCACTCGGGCCGGCAGCATCCTCGATACCGGTAAATAAGTCACGAAAGGGGTCCTCACCCTCATGGGACCCGGCTACCTCGAGGGTCCCCAATGCTCGGGCTTCCCGAAATGCCCCTTCGGAAAAAGCGGGGAGAGAGGGCGAGTCTCCAATTACTATTGCCCCAAGCGAGTCACTTGGGGCGTTCTCCTCAGTTCAAAGATCTTCAGGGTCGGCCCCTTCCGATATACCCCACCGATTGATGACTTCGGTGGGAGGCATCCTCGATCTCCAATGACTCGGGGACTTTGTCCGAGTCCTTCTCCGATATCCCCTCAGTTCGAGATGGAGCCTCATCAACCGCTATCGACCCAGCTGCCTTTGGGGCATCAATGGAGATGTAAAAGCAAGAAGTGGTAAAAAGTGGGGCTATTTATAGGGTCGGCAATGACGGTTCAGTGTCAACAATGGTCGACCATCGTCTGACACGCATTTAATGCCTTGATAACCTAAATCGACGGGACATCTATCATGTACGTCATGGTCTGGCTCGGTACAAACGTCAGTTTTTACCGAGTCATACCGTTTGCAAATCATATCGTTTCTTGCCACATTATTCCTGAGAAACGCAGGGACTATTTGTATACGGTCAAAATCGGTTTTAACCTTCGTGTGATTAGTCAACATTAAAACATAATGGACCGAAGGTCATCTTCGTAATATCAGGTATGAGATCCGAAGCCAGGTTACCGAGCTCGAATTTTTGAGACCATACAAATACTGAGCTCGAAGTCATTACCGAGCCCAAGTCCAAATCGAACTATGAAGTGAAGCGGGGCTATCGAACTTAAAATCCAGAGACCGGCTAATATCTAGCCCGATTCGATACCGAGCTCCGAGTCAATATCGAGCCCGAGTTAATATCGAACTCTAATCCTGGAAATCGGCCAGTACCAAATCCGACCAAGATCGAGCCAGGAGACAAGAGTCGTTACAGCCGCACTAAGAGAGAGAATCTCGGCAGGAATTAGGGAAAAACTAATTCATCATGGGATCTCCACTATGTATTTTTAATTATATCTAAAGTAGGATTCCTCCACTATAAGAGGGATAGCTACTATTTTGTAAAGGGGATGAAGACATTAAGACACTCTCATATTATTCACAAACAGACTGATATCCATATAGAGATTATCCTCTTGTGAGCTTTATACATTGATTCATCTTGCTTGTTCATAAACTAGCTTTCTATTCAATTTGGTTTGTATTTCATTCTTTATACAGTCAATACTCAATATTTTTCTATTTACTTTTCAATTTATACTAAGTTATACCACGTATCCTTAGAACTACGTATAAATTCAACTCTATCCGTTTTTCGGGTAAACAATCTTATTAATTCAAATATTGTGGACCACAAAAAATGACCAAAATATCACTTAAAGTGGGCCGGAGAGAGTATATATATTGGAGTTCGATTAAATTCAAATTCTCGCCGAAAAATAAATTATGAGGTAAATCACTCCCTAAAAAAATGGCTCCATTTCCAGAAAAGACGAGTTATTGCTTCTATATTCCTTAGAGTATATGTTTCTAGATTATGTTGTGTAAATAACAATACCATTGCTGCTATTGTGCTAAAGTCGTCATGTGAAGATTTTTCTCCTTGAAAATGAAAATTATATTTCTTTTAAAATAAGCCTTAACATGTTTAATAAGATTTAAATTATGTACATTAACGGCATTAAACTTTTGGAAATATTAGTATCATTTAATCCATGGTTGCAGATTATACTTATAATTTTTATCAGGTCACCACTAATTAATGTTTTATATAATTTTAGTTGTAATTACCTTTTAAGAATTTGATTGTTTAAATACATTAATCGCGGTAAATATATAAAATTTAAACTCTTATTAATATTGATTTCGAACTTTAAAAGACACTTCATATCAAGGAACATTGAGTTGACCTCTGTCTGAAATTCTTTGAGCAGAACTTGAAGGAGGTGCAAGAGTGCAATAATCAGAAGAGAGAGTAGTTGTCCACCTAAAAGAAAACCATGTCCAACCTTTGATCTGAGCCGTTAGATCATTGAGGCCCTTGATTCGACAACGGAATTAGAATAACTTTTAGTACAAATTTTTACCTAAGTAAATGCACAAATATCCCAACTCTGAATCAACTCTTGCACAAGTAGCCGTCCGAATACATTGATTATATAAAATCGCACACATATTATACCTATATTATACGACATTCGTGAGCTATTTTTAATTTAAGTAATTAAGGGCTGCAATTTAGGTCAATTCTACCTTTAAAATACTTGGCCAACATGCTGAATTGAATGGACTCCATTGGTCATATCCAGAAAAATTCAAGAAGTGGACTAAAACATATGACTGCTACCCTTTCAACATCATCCTCGTAAAAAAGATTAGAGAAGAAGAGGAAGAAGAAGAGTAATAATCATAGACTCAAAAACTGTAAAAACTAAAAACATAATCAAAATCGATATTGTCTTTGATTGAAGCTATCCGATGTATACAAGAGGCCACTAGAGTAGGGCCTAAATTTAGTACAAAATTTTGCTAAATCCTTTTCTTTTTACAATCGACTGCTCTGTACAATTCCAAGAAGGGGGGAAGAAAAAAGAAGAATAAAAAGACTATGGACAAACCCATATAACCCAATTTTGTTGAAGGGTTTTCTGGAGTTTAATTAATATAATTTGGAGTAATGTAAATTCAGTCATGCCAACAAAGGAGCATGACCACACATCTTTTGATTATGTAAAGCCTGGCCTTTTGCTGCCTAAAAACTCCTCCGAGCCCTCTACTTGAAATTAGCTTCCTCTTTGAACTTCCCATGTTGCTACTGCTCATCTTCATCTTTTACTTAAGGGTTTCTGTATTGGAATTCTTGGTATACAAAGAGAGAGAACTTTGATTTTGTTGTTGGTTTTGTTTTTGTGAAGAGAAGTTTGAATGGGGAAAGTGCAAGTACAATAAGAGGTTCTTATAGGGTGTTGAGAGAGAGTGTGTGGTCCTAACTTGTATTGGTCGAGTAAAGAACCAAATATAGGTCTCACTTTCCACTTGTAACCCACTGTCCCCACCCCAACAAGTGAATTAAATTAATATTACACTCATATATTATGTCCCCCACCCGATTTCGTCATAATAAGTTTAAAATATATTGAGAGGGTATTTTTCGTTTGTGTGTTAACATCATGTCTGATAAATGTTTCGGAATCAATAACAGAACAAGTATAGACTCGTGCTAGTTTGAGACAGTCTCTCGAAACGATTATGAAACAGTTTAATGAGGGTAATGCATCGATAGGTAAAGCTTGTTGCAAAAATTAGTTAAAGAAGATTAGGATTTATTAAAGTTTGAGGCGTGCTAAGAACACTGTGCTTAAGGATATTTCACCTACACAATAAAAAATAAATAGTCGTATCCTCCATGATTCAACAAGCTCTTCAAGTTATTAAACTGGGAACAGAACTAGTAGAAAATTCAATAAAGAAACCCAGCATATAGGAGGAAGAAGAATATTCAAAAAGTTGTGCTATAAAATTGTGTCTTTAGCTCTCCAAAAACCATGTTTATATAAGTGTTACTCCAACGGTTAATTTGTAACGGCTAGTTTGACTATTTCAAAACGAGAGAAAGTTGATAAAAATAAGGGACACTTCCTTTTGAGATACCGACAAATTTCAATAATCCCCCACATATCTCAAAAGAAATATAATAATAAAAATAGAGATTATAATTTGCTGGGTTTCGGGTATAATAAAATATTTCTGGTGTCTTATAGACTATGAACCAGATATACATAAAATAAGATTTAACTTACAAAATAATTGATGAAGTTGACAACTTCTATGAACCAAAAATTCTTGTTGTAAGCTAGAGATCTAATTCATCATATTACACCTTCACAATTTTTGTTGTTATCGCGGTTTAGCGCTAATAGGCCATGCGCGCGCCTGGTATTCATGAGAGCTCTAGAAATTTTGCCACAAATTTCATAGGATCTACCGCACTCCATACTCATATAGGTCCATCCATCAAGTGTATTTTGTATTGCAATACACCACCTACAAAAGGCTATGGATCGGATTATTGGATTAAGAGTTTAATAACTTAGCCTCATATTCCTTGCAGTCTTACACTATATACATATACACTATAGGAAGATACATAATTTAATAGTGCACATTTGATCAACTAATGACTTGTTATTACCCATATGAACATACTTCATGGGATCTCCAATCACAAAGATTGGGTTACCATCATTGTTGATACATCTCAAATTGGCAAAAGTCTCAACCGCTCGATGTTTCACTTATAAGTCAAAAGATCAGCCAAATCCTATTTTAACTACATCTAATATGTATAAAAAAATTCTCTCTAAGCAATTGCTTTATCACATTATGTCTCAAGAGAATGTGTCTACTCTTTCCCTTGACAGATTTATTTTCTTACCATGACTATTGCACTTAGCAATCACAATTCATCGATATAAATATTGTCGGTTTAATTAAGTCCTTTTTCACCTGCTCGAGATCGCCTTCGAATATCGAACAGATGTATCTAGACATGGGCTCGCATCGGCCGGGAACTGAAGAGAGTTTTTCAACATTAAAGTCGAAAGTAAGTTCGCATGGCCCGGGGATGCACTCTTCGATACGTGGCTCCACCGGTGTTTTGTCACCGGCCGGCCGCGATGAGGATGCTTTTTCTTCTTGAGGAACGGTCTTTGATGTTTTTACCATTGCTATATGAGGTTAAAGGAAGAAGAAGGCAGAATTTGTATTTTAATAAGAGATTGGTAAACGAAAACCGGCAAAATTGATTAACTTGAAGAAGATAGAAGAGCTTTTGAAGATTAGAAGAAGTTTGAAAGTAAAGTTTGAGAAGATTATGAAGGTGGTCTATTTATAATAGCCACTTTGACGGTTTGAAAGCACTGGTGGCCGACTATCAACTGGCATTAATTAATGGTTTTGGAAACTCTGCAGACGCGACGCTTCAGTCGCTTATGTCGCTTACGTCACGATATTGATGTCATAATTGATTGAGGTATTAAATCGAATTCTAGAATTCGTTTTCTTCTCGTTACACTCCAAAAAATGAGGGGATTATCTGTATATGGTCGAAATCGGGCATACCCGATTTCTGCGGCATGGGAGTGCCATGAGGGTAACCTCGTAATAGATCGGGCTCGAGCTCGAAGATAGAACGTCGAGCCTGGAGATCAAAGTGTTCATTGAGATCGAGGCCAGCAACAATCGAGATCAAGCATGACTGACTTCGAGTAAGGCGTAATAACAGAATGGCGAGATGTCAGCAATCGGTCGAAGATTACGGCAAAAATTCCGGAACAGATCAAATCAAAGCGGTTATTAGTCCCAATCATGGGGTCTATTTCCGTTATTAGAGTTGTACCATAATTAGGTTTTCTCTACTATATAAAGAGGAGTTCCAATCATTTGTAGGGCATCATTATTCACTGATAAGAATATACATATATGCTGTTTTCTTTGTCTTATATACTGTTCATCACTGCTTGTTCTATCATATATTGTTCATAGTAACTAACCTCAAGACTATCTTGAATCAAGGTTGAGGCATCGTTTGTAGACCGGTTTGATTTATTTTATTGTCCAAGTTATCTATTTAATTCGTCATTTATCAATTGGTGCTGGTTTAAATCACATATCTTTAAAACCACAATATAAGTTTAATTGTTACTCAATTTTTAGGGTAAACAACTATGAGTTAGAGGACATCACCACTCATGTGAAAGGGTTCTTAAGTGTGTATACTTACCCTTTCACACTGGGCCCCATCGATCCTGTCATAATTAACTTCTGCCGCCAATACCGGATAACCCTAGGCCAGATCTACCCCTTTTTTTAGCGCATTCTCACTTTGCTCAAATTCTTCTCGAGCAAGATCGAGGGGATGTATTTCACCCTCGATCATCTCATTAGGCTATACAGCCCCCGTCTTTATCGGGGTGGACTGATAAGGCTTCAACGCCGGGCCACGAAGGTGCTATTCTCGAGCATAGATGAGGACAAGGACCGAGGATGGATGTGCCGGTTTGTCCGAGTCAGGACCTCCGATTTAATCCCCGCTGAGAAGATGCCATTCCTCGAAGAATGGAACATGAAGCGTAAGAAAAACTTCACCGATAACGTTTGATTACATGTTATGTTTCCTTTACCGCTTCTTATCTATATTCTTCTTTATGGTGCAACTTCCCCCTGGTTTCCTGGCGCAGTCCCGGACCTTGCAGGTTAGGTTCGACAACTGGTTTCAACTTCTTCGTATGCTGAGCGCTCGTGGCGTGATTTGGCCAAGTGTCGATGGGAGGACAAAAATCATGGTAAGTTCCCCCGTCCGTGTTTGATGCTTTCCTGTGAAATACTTCCTTTTAACTTGATTTCTTCTTATACAGGTCTTGGAGATAGTGTTATTATGAGGCTGCCTCCCCTAGAGGAAGAGGAGGTCCCGAAGACGACCAAAGACAAGAAAAGTAAAAGGGCCTCGCCACCAGATACACCAAAGCCCAATAAAAGCAAGCTCGAAAGTCGAAGACTGATCTCATCTTTTTTCTTGTCGATGTAGTCCAAATGCTATGCGATGAAGACGAGGAGGAACAGGATGTCGACTGCATGCTGGTGGCTCGGAAGAGGGAGGGAATCAAAGTTTTGAGAACTGCTGAGCCGGTGACAGTCAAGGAGATTCAGCTGTAGACCGAGGTGATCTCCAAGGAAGGTTCGAGCAAAGTCCCCGAGTCATCGAGTGTTGAGGATGCCTTCTGCCGTGATGAGCAACCGGTGGGTGTGCTCGAAGGGTCTAGTTCTGAGGCCCTTCAAAGAGAAGAGAATGCCCCAAGTGAGTCGCTTGGGAAAATTAACATTGATGATTCGCCACCCGACCCCACGTTCTCTAAGGGGCAGTTTCGGGATGCCCGGTCCATGGGGACACCTGATGTTGGGACGGCCCCCGAAGGGGATGATATATTTCATGGTTGCTTCGTAGGAGTCGATGATGTTTTCGTCCTGGACGCATCACTCATTTTTTATGAGTCTCAGCGGCTTCTGATCCAAGTGAGTTTTACTTGTGGTCGATGATGTTACCATGCTTGCGTTTGTTCTTATTTCTCAAAGTCTGATTTTATTTCTTTCTGCACAGGCTACGACGCTTCATCGAGAAGCGTCCTCCAAATAACGGGCTGATCTGGCCCGATGTGAGGCTGATCTCAAAAAGCTTATGGAGGGGAGAGAGACGCCATCAAACTCCTCTATGTGCAAAAAGAAGAGGAGATCATAAGTATTCGATTCGAGCTGACAAGAGCTCGTCAAGATCTGACCGAGCTCATTAAGCAGATAATGTCAATTTTTGGGAGCTTGTTATGTATTAACTTGATATTGGCGACTAACACTTTGATTCTGCAGGTTCAGCAGAAGGCCAAATTGGTTGAGCAGATTCATGAGGAAGCCAAGATGAAAGAGGCAGAGACTTTGGAGTGGAAGCAGAGCATGGGCCGTTTCGCCTCGGAGAAAGATGTTGTTCGGGCCCAACTGTCTTCGGTTGAGCGTCAACTCCAAAGAGTGGAGGTGGAGAACTTGGCCCGAGCTCAAAAGGTTGAAGAGCTCGAGACTCGGTTGTCCACTGAGCTTGCAAGGTCCACATCCGAGGCAGAGGTGCTCGTGGCCTTCTACCGAGCCGACGCTGAAGCCGCTAACACTCGGGAAAAGGAAATTTCTGATGCTGCTGAGGTTAGATTGTCCCGTGTTGCCGATCATGCTAGGCGCCAGTCTCGAAGAGAGACTCTTGAGGAGGTGCATGCTCGTGGCTTCGACCTCACGGCTGATATCGAGAGGTCGAAAGTTTTGGAGGACGAGGCCGGAGCTTTGCTTTCTGATGATGAAGCCTTTGTGAGTGGATCTGAGAGCGGAGGAGATGAAGATGAAGCTCCCAAAGATGCAGTT